AATAATCACAATTTTTAGACATTTATTTTTTCAACTCCCGCATAATCTTTATTCATTTCACCAATTCGAGTTTAAAATTTAAATTTTACTATAGTAAAAAACTTTCAAAAATAATCATATCTAATTTTTTTATTATAATAAAAGACTTATATAAAATTACATCTAAATTTAAATTAAAAATTTTAATCAGTGAATTAAACGGACTTATAATGTAATTAACTCGATTTGTAAATATGTCTTGATTCTGGCCTGCCCTGTTAAGATCTGCTTGTGCGGTTAAGATGATGATGGTAGATGGGATAGTGGCCCATGTTTTGAGAGTTTTAAAAAGCCCAAGTTGGTTAAGGCTGACGTTTTTTTTATTTTTTTGTTTGTTTTTGTTTCTTTTCTTGTGAAGAGTGAGACAAATGAATTTTATGCGGTTAGAGAAAACATTACAATAAATATCGAGAGCGGGTCTGTGGGATGCGTATGGCTCGTCAAACGCCAAGTATTCCCCCTAGAGCTGTACATGGGTTAAGTTAAAGCATGATAAGATTTTTTTTTATCTCATTTTAAAGTGTACAGGTTGTACATATTTAGTTTAACGATGTTAAAAAAATTTCACAACCTAATGATGTTTGGATTGGGTTGGAGCGATATGGAGTGAGTTGTGTGATCAGTTTTAATGTTTAAAGAATAAAAGTTTAATCCAACATTCAAAATTCATCATCAAATAGAAATAATAATTCTAACATTAGCAATTCAAAGTTCAATACAACATCAAACATGAAGCAAAGTAGTCCATCCAACATCAAACATAATGCAAATATAAATTAGAGGCTTAATTCAAATCTATTCAAACATAAATGAGAGGAGAGACGAAAAGAAATCATCTGCGCCGGAGAGCTTAAGAGTCTAGGTGACTAAGTCGAATGATTGAGGAAGGACTGAAGACGGTCTGGTCAAGGAAGGACTGCAGCTGAAATTTGAAGAGAGTATAAATAAGTTGCCTAGGGTTAGATATTACAAGAGGTAATATTTGTACGGGTTGGGTTATAAGCTCAACCCATAAACCGCCCTAAACACCTCAGGTCAGACATTTAGTGGGCCAAAAAATAAAAAATAATACTATAAATTACTTTTTTCAAATTGAATTAGGGTGGATTAAATTTGTGAATTATTCAGATTTATGTAAAACCCTATTCCCCCTTTTTGTTTTCTTTGAGGGAAAATGGCCTCCGATTTTTCATTTTCTCTTGAAAAAAAAAAAACATATAAAAAAATAATAATAATAATAGAAGTAATAGTAGAAAAACGAGAGAGAGAGAGATGTTTGTTTTGTTGGGAGAAAAGAAATTCCAAAAAAATAAAAAATGGATGGAAATATGAAATGGCAAAGTGCAGACCACTCAAAGCAAAACCCGATATCTGTTCCAGCCAATCGCATCTCATTCTCACACTCCGATATCTTCCTTTTACACGTTATTATTTTCTCTCTCTTTTTTGTTTGTTTTTATTATTATTTATGAATCTCAGAAAACATATAATAAACAATAAAGAAAAGAATAAAAGAATAAATATAAATACAAATAACAGCAAATAAGCAGTGGTGTTGGATGGTATTGGTATTGTTTGTAAATTGGTTGATAAAATTTGTATCAAATTTCAACCACTCTGAGTCTGAGTCTGCAACGTTGGTAAACATCGGGTTCACCGCCTTTTGGTTTTTGCTTCTTTTGAGTTCTTCTTCTTCTTGGGAGTTTCTTCTCTCAACTAACAATTAACTGCTTTCTTCTGGTTTTTGTTCGGGTAAGCAATTGCTTTCTTTCTATATTTGAATTTCTTTCCGTTTTGGTTTTATTTATTTTATTTTTTTGTTGGACAAATTTAATCTTGCATGTTTTTATGTTTGAATTTCTATCCCATTGTCATTTTATCATTAATTATATCAGATGATATGCGTAATGCTGCATAGATTAGAGCTCTGCTCCTGGCTGCCTGCCTGCCTGCCTCCTGAATACAGATTACAGACCACAGACTACAAAGACATATTTTCTTTTGTTTGTTTGTTTGTTTATGGTTTTGCCTAATTATAATGTCCATGGAATTGATGCAGGTGATCATTAGACTAATTGGAATAAACCTTTGATCTGGCGTGTGTAGATAGATAGATACATACATATACACACAACAATATTATCCAATGATGGCCACAGCTGCAGTGATTGGTCTTGGTAGTACGACAACAACAGGAAAGAGGGTGGTGTTCAGTTCATCCTCGTATTATTCGGACGGCTCGGAAAAGCTGTCTTCTTTTCTCAATATGGATCATTCCCAATTCACCTTCACTTCGGCCAACTACCACCTCATTCTTTCTAGAAAGTCCTCCAATTACACTACTCCCAGTTCTCGAAACCACCAACGGTCTATCAGGAGAGCTCTCAAGGAGCATCTTCACGCATCCTCCGCTCCGCCTTGGTTACACGAGGCAGCAGGTCGGGATTATGACGACGATGAAGACGACATCGAAGAAGAAGAGGAAGAGGAAGAAGAAGAAGAAGGAGAAGGAGGAGAAGGAGGAGAAGAAGAAGAAGAAGGAGGAGGAGGAGAGAGCTCAGCCGCTCTAGGCCACTCGGTCGACGCACTGCTATTGCTCCAAAAGTCCATGCTGGAGAAGCAATGGAACCTCTCATTTAATGGGCGCAGGAAACCCGTCATGTCCACAACACAAACATCCAGTACTGATTATAACAACAACAAACCAGTGGTCACTTGTTCCGGGGTCTCTGCCCGTCATAGAAGGAAGAGAGCCTCCGCCAGAAACACCCCCCGAACCCCTGCAGTCACTCCCACCAGCACTCGCTCCACTAACGATTTCAAGGGTTACCTCAAGGGTGTCGTAGGCGCCGACTTGCTCACTCACGCCGAGGTTGTACGCCTCTCCAAGAAGATTAAGATTGGCCTTTCTTTAGAGGACCACAAGTCTAGGTACTTTTTATTAGCTTCCATGTTGCGTGTCTTGTCATGTTGTTATTCACGAAACTTTTATTCATTTCTAACCGTTTGTCATTGGAATTTTAGACTCAGGGAAAGACTAGGATGTGAACCCTCGGATAAACAACTCGCAACTTCATTGAGGATTTCACGTGCTGAGTTGCACTCCAAAATGATCGAGTCTTCTTTGGCAAGAGAGAAGCTGGCCATGAGCAACGTTCGTCTAGTCATGTCCATTGCTCAAAGATACGATAATATGGGCGCTGAAATGGCTGACCTTGTTCAGGTGCTTCTTATTCTGATCCTTAAACTGCATGCGTGTATATTTCCAGAACAGAACTAAGCTAGGTTGTGATGAATTCCCCAAGTAACCTCGTATTCTATCTACCGATCTTGTAGGGCGGTTTAATCGGTCTATTGCGTGGCATTGAGAAATTTGATTCCTCAAAGGGTTTCAAAATTTCTACCTATGTCTACTGGTGGATACGTCAGGGAAGACTGCATTTTCCTTTAAAACGGAAAAGAAAAAAAAAAAAAGGTTCCTCAGTTTCATTGCGTGAAAAAAGAAATTCTCGTCATCATTAACTTTTTCTACAGAACAATAGTGGAAGACCAAGTTTAATCGATGTAATGTGTTGTGTTTTGGCAGGGTGTTTCAAGAGCACTGGTTGAAAATTCCAGAACCTTGAGATTGCCCACACATTTGCACGAGAGGTTAAGTTCAATAAGGAACGCGAAAATTAGACTGCAAGAGAAAGGAATAACCCCATCAATCGATGTAAGTTGTTTGTTGTCTACCTTACTTAGCTTTAAGAGAAATTTCCTTTGTAAAATAGCCCTCTATTAGATTTTGAAAATTCCTGTTACAATGTTTATCCGGTGTTGTATTCAGAGGATAGCAGAATGCTTGAACATGTCCAAAAAGAAAGTTAGGAACGCAACTGAGGTACACTACAAAATCTATTCTGTCGCATTTTGCTCTTATCTTCTTCCTTCCCCTCCCCTATACACGGTTTTGTTTAACTAATACTGATGTGAGGATCAATATGTAGGCAATCAGCAAAGTATTCTCCCTTGATAGGGAAGCATTTCCCTCTTTGAATGGCCTTCCGGGAGAAACTCATCATAGTGTAAGTGCGGTTATGGGCACAAGTCACTGTCAACTCAAAAATAATTTCAAAAATCTACTATTCATCTACCCTTGTGCGCCTTTTTCTTTACACATTTATTGGCCTTTTTTATTCCTTTTTCTTCCCCGGTTCAGTACATTGCAGATAATTGCTCTGAGAACATCCCTTGGCATGGAGTAGACGAGTGGGCACTCAAGGTAAGAGCAAAACGAGGGTGCTTCTCAGTCTTATTGGTTTTGGTTTAGATTAAGAATTTGGTTTCAAGGAAAAAGAAATGGTGTCGATAGCTAATTAGCAAGGTTGGCGTGCGTGCAGGAAGAAGTAAACAAGCTCATAAACACGACACTTGGGGAACGGGAGACAGACATCATACGGCTCTACTACGGTCTGGATAATGAGTGTCTTACTTGGGAGGATATTAGCAAGCGGTGAGTGATGAACAAACATATGAGGCATACTTGGAATTGAATTTCAATCTTCCCTCGAATTAACATTAAAATGCTTCTTTTTCTCTTTCAGCATAGGTTTGTCGAGAGAAAGAGTGAGGCAAGTTGGACTTGTTGCGCTCGAGAAACTAAAACACGCCGCCAGAAGGAAACAAATGGAGGCCATGCTTGTCAAACATTAAATTTAAACATTTGTTACTGTACAAACCATACAAAGACTGTATATATACTAGCATACGAGAGAGGAAATTTGTAATCTTCATCTTGTTTTCTTATCTTAATATTCATTAGAATACGAGTATTTAATGGGCATACTGACCCAAACTTTCGATAACATTAGAAAGAAACACTGACTAAGAGCTTGTAAGTTGATGCATTCTTTTCGTTTTCAAAACGAATTAATCAATGCTGACTAGCATTCGATGTTAGACTTGGTATCGGTTATAGTTTACACATGGAAAGAAAAAAAAAAAAGAAATCACAAAATCAATCCAAAGTCTATTCTTACGTATGTAAGTCGCACCCATGCTCGCGACCAATGAAAAAAGAAAAAGAAAAAGTCGTGAGAACCAGATCAGCAGCAACAATTACTCGCAAATGGCGGCCTCGCGACGAGCAGAGGACGTCGATGCAGATACCTCTGGATTTGGCAGAATGGCGTGGGACAGGTTCATATAAGTTTTTTCGAGGAGGGTATCCTGAGTTTCACGAAGGAGAGGCGTTATCTGGGTTTCGAGGAGGAAGCGATATTAGTTTAGTGGGAGCTTCACAAAAATAGAGAATAAATCTTAGAGAGAAGAGCAACAATGATTTTACAATTTGAGTATGATGTGGTAAAATGTTTCTTTTGATTTCAATTTTTAGATATATTGTCTATGTCCGGTTTATTGGATTATGTCAAATCCTGGTTGAGTATGATTATGTCCGGTTTATTTAGATCCTGGTTGGGTATGATGTGATATATATTGAGTATTTGAGTGTGTTTGTTGTTGGATTATGTCAAATCCTGGTATGCTACTGCTTATGGGCAAATTTTAAAGAACTTTTAAGGTTGTTTGTGACTAGTGGTGCAAGTTCGGGCGGCGGGTATGTCCGGTGCCTAAAAATTTTCGGGCACGGCGGGCAGGTGCCATTCGCCGCCCGTCCAGGGTATTTTTCGAGCACGGCCTCGGGCAGCCTGAAAATATTCATTCTCCCGACTGCCTGACGCCGTGGAGAAGTCATTCCTCGCCGTCCGTCGGATTTTTTTTTGAATTTTCTGGGGTAACCCGAATGTGCCCGAATTTTTTTGACCATTGCCCGAATTTTGCGCCTTGCCCGAAAATGCCTGAATTTTTTTGACCGTTAGCCCGAAATCCGCCAGAATTTTGAACCCAACGGATCTTTTTGCCAACCCGACCCGCCGCCCGATTTATGCCCAAAATTTTGAACCCCAACGCCTATATTTTTTACCGTTGCCCGAATCCTGCCCGACCACCCGATTGCCCGAAAATGTTACTAGCCGTTGGACCTGAATTTTTGAGGGAAAATTTTTTTTTTTCAAGTAAACAAATTTCCTATAAATACCCCCCCAACCATTTTCTTCACCCAAAAACTCTCATTCTTTCTCAATTTCTCTCAATTTCTCTTAATCTCTCTCAAATGTCTCTCAAATGTCTCTTAATCTCGTTTAAATCTCTCTCGATCTCTCTTAATCTCTCTCAAAGCGCTCTCAATCTCTCTTATTTTTCATAATGGCTTCTTCTGGTTACGGTGGTGATATTCCCATTGATGCTCAATTCAACATCGAATAAGGGCAATTTCTTAATGTTTTTCAAACGCATGAACCGCAAACTACGGAAAGAGTTGTTGAGAAAACTGCAAATCCGACCCCTGGTGGACGTACTAGAGGTCGGGGACGTAATGGTGGTGGCACTGGTGGCCGTGGAGGAGAGGCAAGCGGTAGTGCTAGTGCAAGTGTTGCAAGTTCTAAGAAGAAATGCAAGCGCACCTCAGCAGTTTGGGAGCACTTCAACACATTCGAGGACGTCGACAATAACGGTAACATTAAATACGTAGCTCAATGTAAATATTGTGGTGAGAAATTACAAGGTAACACTATTTACGGCACTACACACTTAAGAAGACACTCTGAAAAGTGTCTTCAAAAGCAAGGAGGCGGAGCTAATCTCCGCCAAATGTAATTATCGTTTGACCGCCAAACCGGTGGTCTAAGCACGTGGAAATACGATCCGCAAGTTGATCGTATGGAAATGGAACAATTAATAGCCACATTAGATTAACCACTAAGTTTTACTGAACAAAGAAATTGACTGCGTTATATTAAAATTGTACATTATCCTAATGCACAATTTTTTTCTAAAACTACTCTTAGGAAATATGCATTAAAATTGTATAAATAAGAAAAGGAAGCATTAATCAACCTTCTACACTCTACTAGTGGTTGCATTGCGTTAACGGTGGATATTTGGTCTGCCATTGCCAACAATGATTATTTAGCTGTAACCGAACATTCTTATAAAGGTTTTGATTTGGATAAGAGAATCTTAGGTTTCAAATGTGTTAGAGGATCACATACTGCCAATTTAATATATAACACAATTTTATCTGTTATTGATGAATATAGTTTAAGAGATAGAATAATTGTCATAACATTAGATAATGCAACTGCAAATAGTAAAGCAATATAACTTTTTGAAAATGATTTAAGTTTATTCGGTAATAATGATATATTTCACCAACGTTGTGCATGTCATATAATTAATTTAATAGTAAAATCCGGTTTAAAATCAATATTAGGTCATATTAAAAGAATTAGAGATAACATTGCTTGAATTCAAGGTAGTAGAAATTGACTGCGTTATATTAAAATTGTACATTATCCTAATGCACAATTTTTTTCTAAAACTACTCTTAGGAAATATGCATTAAAATTGTATAAATAAGAAAAGGAAGCATTAATCAACCTTCTACACTCTACTAGTGGTTGCATTGCGTTAACGGTGGATATTTGGTCTGCCATTGCCAACAATGATTATTTAGCTGTAACCGAACATTCTTATAAAGGTTTTGATTTGGATAAGAGAATCTTAGGTTTCAAATGTGTTAGAGGATCACATACTGCCAATTTAATATATAACACAATTTTATCTGTTATTGATGAATATAGTTTAAGAGATAGAATAATTGTCATAACATTAGATAATGCAACTGCAAATAGTAAAGCAATAGAACTTTTTGAAAATGATTTAAGTTTATTCGGTAATAATGATATATTTCACCAACGTTGTGCATGTCATATAATTAATTTAATAGTAAAATCCGGTTTAAAATCAATATTAGGTCATATTAAAAGAATTAGAGATAACATTGCTTGAATTCAAGGTAGTAATCAAAGAATTCAAGATTGGTTTAGATTTCTACAAGCATGTAATCAAAATCCTAGAGCATTAGCCTTAGATATGCCCATAAGATGGAACTCCACTTATATAATGCTTGAACAATGCATCCCCTATAAAGATGCTATAACAAAGTATGTTAGTGCAAAATTAGAACCAGGATTTATAGATGAAACTGATTGGCAAGTTGCCAAACTCTTGTATAACTTTTTAGGTAGATTTCACGAAGTTACCATAAAGCTTAGTGGAACTTATTACCCAACGTCACCATTAGCGTTATGAGAACTTTTAAAAGTGTCTATTTTATTTAGTGAATTTAGGACACACGAGGTTTTAGGAGTTCCTATCGCCTCTATGGAAAGCAAGTTTAAGAAATATTGGTCTAAATTACCCATGTTGTATGGTTTCGGTGTTATTTTCGACCCTAGATTAAAATTAGAAGGTTTAGAAAGTGGATTAGATAACTTAGGTGAATTTTTAGCCATCGACACTACTGACCAATTTCCTATTATAAAGGAAAAAATATTTTCTCTCTATAGCTCTTATGAAAGTAGGTTTAGAAACACCCCTCGTGTTTAACAACCGTAACAACGAGACGACAATCCGCATTCATTCTTGAATGTTTTCGGGTTGTCTAAGAAGAAGAAGAAGACGACGACTCAAGGTCAAGAAGAATCTGGGAGTGGATCTTCGTCAAGAGATGGCGGCAACAGCGGCAGATTCAACGAGTTAATGGCGTACCTGAGTGAGGGCTTAGTTGTATACAGTAGTGAAATGTTTGATTTGGTTCAGTGGTGGAGGGCACGAGCATTAACTTGGCCGATCCTAACACGACTTGCAATTGATATTTTTTCAATCCCGGTCTCCACGGTTGCAGCCGAACAAGCATTCAGTACAACCGGCCGAATACTTGAAGAACGGAGAAACACATTGCAACAGGATATTGTTGAAACTTTGGTGTGCATCAAGGATTGGGATCATTCGGACCAACGCTTACACGATACAATCTCACCGGCAAGCTAAGAATAGATCGACAAGTTTAATAGATTAACTTTTAATTTTCAAAACGATTATTCTGCTTCAAATTAAATTTTATTATTGTAATTTGTAAATATTTATTTACTTTGTAATTTCTAATTTGTATAGTGTTATTGTAATCTTGTATAGACTTTGTAAGTTTGTCAAATTTGTAATTCGTCCCACAATGATTGCACTCTTTTTTCTTTACCAAGTTTTTATCCCAATTAGGTTTTTCTTGGTAAGGTTTTTAATGAGACAATCATGAATTAAAATTTTAAAAATCAATGAAGAAATAATTTTTTTATATAGTTCGTGTGATCATTTCAAATTTCAAATTGTACACATTATAATTATACAAATACAAATTATACAATATAAAAAAAGTTTAAAAATTCAGGCAGCCGGTCGGGCATCGGGCAGCCCGACCGGGCACGGGCAGCCACCTCCTGCCTGAAGCCCGTCCATGGTGAAATTTGGGTCGGGTCGGGCAACCTAAATTTTCGGGCAGTTCGGGTTCGGTACTCAGGCAAAAATTTTGACTTTTCGGTGGTCGCGGGCGGCCCGTCCAAAGTTTTAGTACTATTTGTGACTGCTTTAGGGGTTGTTCTTTTGGAACAGAACTCAGAAAAAGTTTGAACTCGAGTTACAACTTTATTTAAGTTTATGTTCTTTTGTAAAACTCGAGTTTAAACTTGAGTTTGAACTCGAGTTAACTCGAGTTTAGAACTAAACACGAGTTCAAATTTTCCCTTCAACTCAAGTTTATAAACTCAAACTCAAGTTAATGAACAATATTTTTTTATTCTTAAAAATGTCATAACTTTTTCGTTTTAATTCCGATTGAGATGATTTTTTTTCTATGCATTCACAACGAAAAGACGAATAAAACTCCACCCATATACTCTATTAAAATTTTTCATCACCATTGAGTTTTTATTAAAATATATCTAAATACAAATTTAAGTTTTGACTCAACCAAACACAAACTCGAAAATATTCTCAATTCAAATCATAACTCAAATATGCATATCTAAACAGAAACTCAAGTTACAACTTTAACTCAAATTAGAACTCAAACTCAACTTAAGATCATCACTCAAATCACCCTAATTCAAAAATGCAAAAGAACAACCATCAAGAGTGTTTTGCTTTTGTACCTGAGCTTTGGGCCATCATCAATTTCATTCTTATTGTTTATGAAAATGGTTGGCACAAGCTTTAGTTAGAAAGCGATTCATTATGGCCATTTTGTAGATTGAGTGGAATAAGTTTTCTTGTACATATAAAGAGGCTGGTTGTTGTTATTTGGTAACTGTTATAGAGGAAGGAGAAATAAGGTAAGGTTTCCTATGAGGTGATAATTAAGTGGCAGTGTGATAAATGTGAATTTATCAAAATTATGTTATTTGGTAACTGTCACATAAGTTTATTCATTAGCTTATTCTCTTTCTTCGTGTTAATAATAAAAGGAGCTTGAATGTGGCCCATAAGCAATATGTTAATACGGAGAATCATTAAAATAAATAAATAAATAAATAAAAAGAAAGAGAGAGAAGGATTTTGGATCGAGATTGTTTGATTGGATCAGAAAACAAATATATATATATATATATATACCTGTGTCTTATGGCAATTGGGATTTGGGACGGGGCAATGGCATGGCGTAAACGTAACAAAGAGGAATTATCAAATATCATACAATTTTTTCGGAAAATATCAAAAGGGATGAGAGCCACGTGGCATGTTGTGGAGAAGGTGAGATGCAGACGCAGATGAACACGTGAAGATGCACATGAATATGTATGCCCACAGCCCATCCATGAGAGAGTGTGTGTGATACAATCGTACTGATCGAGTTCAGTTATTTATATTACAACCTTCCATCTCCACTTTCACAGGCATAGGCATAGCATTCCTTCCTTTTTTAAAAAAAAAAATAACAAAACAACAAAAAAGAAAAAGAGTGACTGAGTGAGTGAGAAAGAGCGAAAATGGCTATGCCGCACACCCACAGCACCACCGCCATTGCTAACCGCCAGCTTCTCCATTCTCCTCCTCCTCCTCCTCCTTCTTCTTCTTCTTCGTCTATTTGTCTCTCTCTTTCCAGAAACAATCACAATTACAATTACAAGAAAGCTTTCTCTTTGACTTTGAATCCCGATAATCTGCCGAATTTCCGTTTAAGACATCCCAATCTCGTCCTCCTACGGAAGCCAATTCCCTCTTCCTGCTCCTCCACTTCCTCCTCCTCCGACAGATTTGGGGAATGGGATTCGCTGACGGCAAAGTTCGCGGCTGCTTCGAACATCCCGTTTCTGCTTCTCCAACTCCCGCAGATCATCCTCAACGCCCGCAATCTCCTCTCCGGCAACAAATCCGCCCTTTTGGCCATCCCCTGGCTCGTATGTTTATGTTTGTGTTTAATTGATGATTCATATTCATTCATTCTCTCTCATAAATCAAATCATAATACACACATGACACGATTGATTGATTGATTGATTGATTGATTGATAATACACTTACAGGGAATGTTGACCGGGTTGCTGGGAAACCTGTCTCTCCTCTCCTACTTTGCGAAGAAGAGGGAGAAGGAGGTGATTGTCGTACAAACGCTGGGGGTGGTCTCTCAGTATGTCGTTTTCGCGCAGCTCGCCATGGCCGAGGCCATGCCTCTCTCTTACTTCCTCATCACCTCCGCCGTCGTCGTCGCAGGCCTCCTTGTCAATTTCCTCAACTACTTTTACTTGCTCAATCCTCCTTCCTTCTGGCGTTTTTGGGAAGATTTTATCACCGTTGGTGGCCTCTCTGCTCTCCCACAGGTCTAAGCATTCTCAAGTCTTCTCTCAAACACAAATCTCTGTTTAATGTCAAACATCAGTCAGATTATGTTACGCTTACTTTTGCAGGTTATGTGGTCCACATTCGTCCCCTACATTCCAAACACTCTCCTGCCCGGGGCTTCCGCTTTTCTCGCAGCTCTCACCGCTGTTGTTTTGGTAATTGAACCCCTTTTTTTTTTTTTTTTTTTTGTAATCTTCATGAATGAGTGAACGACTGAATTTGTTTAAATTCTGTGGATTCGCTTCGCAGGCTCGAATGGGGAAACTATCGGACAAAGGCATCAAATTTGTGGGAGCTATATCTGGTTGGACTGCCACCCTTCTCTTCATGTGGATGCCTGTATCACAAATGGTACCAAAATTATTATACGTCTCCTTTGTGTTTGTGTCTTTGTCTCCGAAAATCCAACATCCAAGTTTCAAATGTTCACATTCATTTATGTGTGTTGGTTGTTTCAGTGGACGAATTTCCTGAATCCTAACAACATCAAAGGCTTATCGGCTTTCTCCATGTTACTTGCCATGATTGGCAACGGACTCATGATCCCCCGTGCCCTTCTTATTCGCGATTTCATGTGGTAATTAATGCTTCTTCTTCTTACTTTTTTTTTTTTTTTTTTTTTTTTTTTTTATTTTTTTTTTTTTTTTTTCAATTTTATCGTTTGTTTCCTTCCCATAGAATGTATAAAACCTGTTTTCTTTTCCTTCCAACAAAAGTAAAGTAAACGGCATTAGGAGCATAACAGCATTTAGCATGTTCATTTCTTTTGATACACACAGCATATGCATATCTACTTGTAGTTCCATAAAAGCTTGTGTTAATTGCTAGCTAGCTTAGCTATGGACAACCAAATAGCTCCCTCCTAAGTCCCACCTGACAGTAACAGAGGCCTTATTTCAAACTTCTGAGACAGCCTCATAATTCACATCTCAAATCAGCGCACTTCCAGCGAAAAAAAAAAAGCCTTATTTCTTTCAGATCTTGGGTATGATGATGGCTCATCTCCTAAAATGTCCATGGAAACTCATCTCAGGCTCATGCCAACATTTGTTTGTCAGTATGGATTTTATGTGTCTCTTGTTGCCTCCTGTCACCGTGGCTTAGTGCATGATGTTGAATGCATAAGTCTATGACAACTGTTTCTTCCTGTTGGCTCTTCTGCTCTTGTTGACAAAGCCAGCAGTTGGCTCTTCTGCTCTTGTTGACAAAGCCAGCACCACGTAAATCAGGCACCATGTCTGTAATTCATAAAATTATTACGCACTGGTAATAAGGTTAAAGGTTATAAAATGAATGAAAAAATTCATCTGAGACTGGGAGCAACGACTACGCTCACGGGCGTTAAGATTGTGTTATTAAGGTTTGATGATGCCCTTATCTCTTGACCTGCCTTAGAGGCTTTAACAGTTGGGATTTGTTTTTTTGGTTACATGATTACAGGTTCCTTGGCTCTTCTTGGGCTTCTTTCTTTTATGGATATGGGAATATCGTGTGCTTGTATTGGTAAGGCTTTTTATCTTTGCAGTCATGACTAATCTAGTCTAATGTTGTTCTGGGATGGTGGATTGATTTGAATGAAGCGTGAAACTTGTGGCGTCTTTCAGGTTCAACAGCATCAGCAGAGAATTCTTTTTGGCAGCGACGGCTGGTTTATTTTTATGGATAGGTGGTCACCTCTCTATCATGAATCATGATATCAGAAAATTAGTAAGAACATTTCTCATGTGACATATTCTAATGTTTATGATGCTATTATACGTTCTTACCAACAGGAATGGCTCTATGGAGGGACACCGTGGTTCATGGACATAGCTCGCCCTTGACGTCGTTGAGAGAGTTGGTTTTCGGAGCTCAAGTTTGAAGGCCTTCGTTAGCCTTTCTATTACCATTATTCGGTATTGATTAGTAAACCAAACGCCAAAAAACTTAAAGACGCAAGCTCTTCTCAGCGGGCATGGCATGGCAATTGGCATATGACACACTCCTTAATCTGCAACTCTGTCATGTCTTTGTTCATTTTTCATTTTACATAAAAAGATAATACAATATGATAGCTAGCTATATGACAGTAATAATTTTGGTGAGGGAATTAGAATCATTTGTATTGTAATGCTCAAAAGGAATTTGTTTAACTTATGTTACACGCTTCGATTCAGTGAAGTTGTTTAGTTACTTACTGCCTTAACCATATGCGTAAATTTACAATTCTCTCAATTATCCAAATTAATAATTTGGTTGGAGTTTCTGGGTTTGGTTTGATGATACATGTGTAGTATTTATTGAAGATTAAGAAAGCTGCTATATTTGTATACATTTGTATTTGAGATTCAGGGTATGAATTATTTAGTCAGATTAGGGTTAGGGGGTTAGGTGTAGTTATGAGGTTTTTAATAGAAATTCAAATAAAAAGACTACATAATTATATTACTCTCTTTTTTTTTATTTATTTTTAACAAAAATTATAACAGATAGGATTAAGTGGGAATAATTTAAAGTTAAAAGAGTAAAATAAGAGTTTATAAAGTTTGGAGAGGAATTAGGAATGACGCTAAGTATATTACGCATTTAACTATGAAGCAATAGTAGAGGGAGGCAATTGTAAAACATAAATGTTGGGGGGAAAAAAAGAGAAGAAAAGGAAGTTGAGCATGGTTTTGTTTGTAAAATAAAAAAAAAAATTAAAACAAGACTTAGACCTTGTTCATTTCACGATAGTCATATTGTTACAGTGTTTTCTCTCATAAAAATTTAAATTTAATTTTTTTGTTACAGTATTTTTCTCTCATATACACAACTCAAGTCATGACTTGAGTTGTGCAAATTAATATACCCTTAATTACAATCAAGGATGAAAATATCGATATTTACGGAAATATCGGTACTTAAATTTGACGAAAATATTGATATCGGTGGAAATTGACATGAAAAATGAAAATAGATATTAAAACACTGTATTTTTAAATGAGACTTTAAAATAAATAATAATACATTAATTAGATAAAATTTTCAATCAAAATACTAATTATTTGATAAATATATAAGGTAAAAAGTAATCATAATACCATAATACAAATTAAGTAAAATAATTGAAAGTCAACATAATTCATATATCATATATGTATGGGTTCATACATGATAATAAATTATCAATACTAAAAGGAGCTTCTAAGAGGTTGGAGAGTATTTTTAACACATTCTTAATTTAAACAATATTGATACCAAAACATAAAATTTGAATAGTTCGTTATATAATTTTAAACATGTCATATTTTTTAGTTTTTTTAAGTAAAATAAAAAATATCTATAAAGTTGTGGAAATTTTTTAGAAATTTATTGATATTTTTTCACAATACCCAATCATTTAACACTATATTTTACTTAAAAATAAAAAATTTTATGAAAATATTGATATTTATAAAAATATCTATAGAAATTTTAAGATATTCTAAAAAAAATACTACACACTTATTTTTATATCAATATTTTTAAAATACAAAAAATTTTATGAAAAATATCAATAAAAATATCGATATTTTTATTACAATCCGAGAATAGAAGACATGTAACTGCAACGCTGTAGCAAGCGTACGCTTTTAATAAGAAAAGTAATAAAGTAAAAAGTAAATGAAGTGTAAAAATGTTAAACCACCGAGGTTGCTAAAAGAAAGGAAGGACACGTGGTAGCAGAAAGGGTATGTAACAGACACGTGTCAAGAATCCGATCCACATAGACGGGAGAAATCGGCAGACAGCGTATATTAGTACTTTAGTAGTAGTTGTCGTTGTTGTTTTGTTAACGAGTACCAAACCATGAATGTTCCTTCACCTTCCATCTCTCTCTTATTTCTGCTTTTTGTTTGTCTGTCAGAGACACAGAGAGAGATTCGGGAAGCTTCTCCTTCTAGAAAACTTTTATTTTGCAGATGAATGAATCTATTTGATTCCGTCTTCCTACATTAGATTTTGTCAGACTTGTATGAATGAGATTGATTTGAATTCCCTATAGAAACCAAAAGAAGAAGAAGAAGAAATGGGTGGGAATGGGAATGGGAATGGGAATGGAAAGAGGTTATTGAGGAGAGTGGTGGGAATGGGATATTGGGTGCAGGGATTGAGGTGTTTGCCGTGGATGGGAGTCGGCTTCTTTCTCAAAGACGGCCTCCGCGTGGAGCCCTCCACTCTCCAGCTCCTCCTGAACTCCGCCAACCTCCCCATGGTCGCCAAGCCTCTTTACGGCGTCGTTTCTGACTCCTTCTACATCTCCGGCCAGCATCGCCTCCCTTACATCGCTCTCGGCGGTACTCCCTCCCTCTTTTCTTTAATTCCTTTCTTTTTTTCTTCTCCTATATATATTGGTATTATTCTAATTAATTAATGGAATAATGATATCCCTCACAAGTCACAACCAACCGATCTCCGAATCACATTTCTACCAACTAATTATCTAATAAACTTTTTAACTCCAAATAAATCACACCACAAACAATTTTTTTATTTTTTTAATTGTTAGTTTCTTTTATTCTTGCTGAATTATTATTATTATTATTCTTAATTTGGTATTTTTCTACCCTTCTTAGCTTTACTCGGTTGTTTTTAAGATTCTGGACGGTCATAAAATGCAGAAGATAAAGCTCTTACGTATTCTTCAGAACTTGCTTCTTTTTCTTTATTTAAAGCCCCTTTGAATCTCCTTTTTCTACTCCTTTTCTGTTTTTTCTTTTCCTTTTTAAATGCCAATTTTTTCTTTTTTTTTTAAAAAAAAAAAAAAGATAATTGTCTTGGTGAACAGGGGGGGGGGGGGGGGGGG